ACATATTGGAAAAGTAGTTATTAAGGTTCGCGAGGAGGAAGTACAAAAAATTGTTCAGCCTTCAATTAAAACTATCAATGCTATTTCACGCACTTATATGCACAAAGAAAAGTCTTACATCTTAGTTGGTGGTCTTGGTGGGTTTGGTTTGGAGTTGGCAAATTGGTTGGTTACGCGCGGTGCCAAGAATATTATCCTCACATCAAGAAGCGGTATTAAAACTGGATATCAATCATTGATGATTCGTCGTTGGACTGAAAAGGGAGTTAAAGTTGTTATTGACACAAATGATGTGACGACTCTTAAAGGAGCACAAAAGATGCTTAAAGACGCTTCAAAAATGGGTCCAGTAGGAGCAATCTTCAATTTAGCAGCTGTGCTACGTGATGATTTACTTGAAAATCTTAATGAAAATGACTTCAAAACGGTTTGTCAGCCAAAAGTTGATGGAACCAAACATCTTGATACAGCATCTCGTGAATATTGTCCAGAACTTGATTACTTCATTTGCTTCTCAAGTGTGTCATGCGGTCGTGGAAATATTGGACAGTCTAATTATGGATTAGCTAATTCAGCTATGGAAAGAATTTGTGAGGCTCGTCAACGCATTGGCCTTCCTGGAACTGCCATACAATGGGGAGCCATTGGTGATACTGGATTAGTTCTTGAAAATCTTGGAGACAATGACACAATTATTGGTGGAACTTTACCTCAAAGAATGGTTTCATGCTTACAAACTATGGATTTGTTTATGCAACAGCCACATGCTGTTTTGGCTTCGATGGTTGTTGCTGAGAAAAGAAAGACTGATGCATCAAGTGGAATGAGTTTAATTTCATGTATATCTAATATTTTGGGATTGAAGGATACAAAAAATATTAGTGACTCGTCAACACTTGCTGATTTAGGAATGGATTCTCTTATGGGAGCTGAAATTAAGCAAACACTTGAACGAAACTTTGATTTAGTTTTAAGTGCTCAGGAAATAAGACAGCTCACATTTGGAGCTATAAAGGCTATGGAAGCAGGAACTGGACCATCAGAAGCTACAAGTCCCGAAGGTCGTGATAATCAAGAATCAGATAAGAATGGACACACATCACCTGTCTCACAAGATATGGGAGCTGTTGGAGATGGAACTCAAGTTGCATTTAGTGAGAACTTAATGCCAACACAATGCTTGCTAAAGATGAAGTCAAAGAGTGGAAACAATCCACCAATTTTCTTGGTGCATCCAATTGAAGGTGTCGTAAATGCTCTCATTCCTCTTGCCGAGAAACTAAACAGACCAGTCTATGGTCTTCAATGTGTCTCATATGCACCACAAGAATCTATTCCAGATCTTGCAGCTTATTACGTAAAACAAATTAGAAGTGTTCAAACAATTGGACCTTACACTATAGCTGGATACTCATTCGGTGGATGTGTTGCCTTTGAAATGATTACTCAAATTGAACGTGATACAGGTGAAACATGCAACTTAATTATGCTTGATGGATCTCCTCTGTATGTCAGTTGGTATACAGAAGCACAAATGACAAGAAATTCTGGTGGAAAATCACCAACTGGACATAATAACTCAAGGGATCAGGCTTATGCATTCGCATACTTCGGTATGGTGTGTGGAAATCTTGATTATAAGTTGGTAAGTGTCTGGATCAATTCCTGTTGATGTTTAGAAATTATATAGAAAAGTTTATTGACTAGTTCCTTATTCTTTAAATCTTTCAGACTGCTATGGAACTTGAGAAATTGCCATCATACGAAGCACGTCTCAGCCGAGTTTCAGAAATGATTCATCAAAAGACAAATTATCCAATAGATTTGGTAAGAATGAATACATAAACGTATAAAAATTCAGTTGCATAATTTGTAATTCTGTCAATTAGGTTGCTGTAACTGCCAAGAGTTTCTTAATGAAATTAATTGCTGCACACAATTATAAGCCAATGGGTAAAATCAATGCAAACACGCTTCTTATCAAGCCAACTGAAAATTATACAAAACTTGCAAAAGATTATGGATTAAATGAGGTAAATATTTTGTGGATATCTTTTGAGCCATCATGATCGAAGTCAATATGAATTTTATATCCGATAACAATTAAGTTTGTATGCTTATAATTTTCTCTTTATTTCCTTCCAGCTTTGCACAAAACCAGTAAAAATAGAAACAATTCCTGGCAATCACCGTACGATGTTGACAGGAGAATCTGTGGAAAAGATCTCTAAACTCTTAGAGAAATTAGTATAGTAATATTAAGCCACAACAAAATATTTAATCTGTAAATATTCTTAAGCATTTAGATATTTTTATATGTAGCAATTCCATACAGCAAATTGTTTAAAGAAATTGATGTGATGTGCTGTAAATATTTAAGGTCCATTTGCAGCACATTCTTCCGTGTCTTGACAATTTTGTTTTGAACATTCCTGTTGAAAATTGTGTAATCTCTATTAATTTTATGTAGGATGTATGAATAATATTGGATATTTCTTTTTTAAAATCAAATGCTAAGTTAAGAATGAATTGGAAATTTTATATTTGAAATATTTCAAATTTCATTCAATTTGACCTGCAAGTTGACTATTAAAGATGAAATCAGAAGATATTTACTCAGAGGTCGAAGTTGGTGAAGTGAAGTCGTTTCACTTCACTTCACTTCACTAAAATTTCAATCGGTTTCAAGTCAGCTCGAGTGAACTCATTTTTTTCGTGTTCACTCGAGTCGACTTTTAACCGAGTTGATTTTTTCATGTTCACTTTAGTCGACTTTTAACCGAGTTGATATTTTCGTGTTCACTTTAGTCGACTTGAAACCGACTTGATTTTTTCGTGTTCACTCGAGTCGACTTTTAACCGAGTTGATTTTTTCATGTTCACTTTAGTCGACTTGAAACCGACTTGAGTTCACTAAGGAAAAAAAAATGTAATATACCAAACTGATTTCTGCTAGTGCTTGTGAAGTATATGTGATTACATACAAAATTGCAGAATTTGTCATTTTTTACTTCTCATAACCATAAAGCAAACTAAACGAATTAATTTAAAATATTTTTTAGATTTCATATATATTATAAATGTTTTACACTATAGATTATTTTTCTGATTTGAAATTATTTATTACGAACTGCTACAATTATGAATGAAATTTATTTTAATTCACACCATATTTCCAATTTTGGTGAATATATTTTAATCTCATATTTATTTTTTTGACAACATTGATATATTGATGAGTGCACTGAATGAATCGTAAATTCTATTTTTTCTCACTTATTTTTAATTTCACCATCAAATATAACACTTTTTTTTTATTTATAGAGTTAAATTTCTTTAAAGTGCAAACATAAATAATGAAAAAAATTTAAAACTTGAATTAAAATAACCTGGAAGTTTGAAAAATATTTTAAATTAATTCGTTTAGTTTGCTTTATGGTTATGAAAAGTAAAAAAGGACAAATTCTGCAATTTTGTATGTAACCACATATACTTCACAAGCACTAGCAGAAATCAGTTTGGTATATTACATTTTTTTCCCTTAGTGAACTCAAGTCGGTTTCAAGTCGACTAAAGTGAACATGAAAAAATCAACTCGGTTAAAAGTCGACTCGAGTGAACACGAAAAAATCAAGTCGGTTTCAAGTCGACTAAAGTGAACACGAAAATATCAACTCGGTTTCAAGTCGACTAAAGTGAACACGAAAATATCAACTCGGTTAAAAGTCGACTCGAGTGAACACGAAAAAAATGAGTTCACTCGAGCTGACTTGAAACCGATTGAAATTTTAGTGAAGTGAAGTGAGTTTGCTTCATCGACTTCGACCTCTGTATTTACTGAAACTGAAGATTATGACAAAGAAAAAAAAAGTTTTAATTTCTGTGATCAACGTTTAAATTTTTATTAACATTTTAATCAAATTGGTTACAATATTTAATCTAGATTAATTTTTAATCTAAATTAGTCTTAACTTTTCGTTTGATATTAGGAATGTGCAGAAAATTAAATATTAAAGGATTATAAAGTGAATTAAATTAAATTATATAATTCAGCACGGTGTGGATTTTAAATGGATTAAAAGACACTGCAGTCAAAAGATAAAGCAAAAAAAAAACTGACGATCAACAAGAAAGAAATTTAATTTTGACTGAGAAGGTCTGTAAGTCCATGAATAAATCCGTTAAGATTTGCACAGATATATTAAATGAATATCAAAATTAAGTTAACACTGAATTTAATTAAAGGAATATAAAAATCAATAAAATTAATAAAAGCCAAAACAAAGACTTTAATTTCTTGTTTGTCAGGAACTAAAAATAGGTTTTCAACTTAGTAATCAATTTCAAACTTGATAAGATTAATAAACACGAGGAAAAGGATTGATTAAATCTATTTAAAATTAAAATTTTCTTAATATTGCTCAACAGTTTGGGTGAATTATTCGTACAATGAATTTATCAAACTTCTGGTTTGAACTCAATTTAAATTAATTAAGTAGCATTGGTGTGTCTTAAGAGTTTTGAAACTTGTAAAGTTCTCAATTCAATCTAGAGAAAGGTTTAAAAATTTTCATTTTCTTAAAGATTTGCGGCTCACCGTTTGAGAATCACTAGCTTAATCTAGTCATAAATTAAGTTTATAGTAAAATGAGCAAAATAGCATGAATGATCTTAAACCAAATTGTTTCGAACAAACAACAACAAAAATTAAAAATCCACAACACAAAAACTTTAAAATAAATCAATTAATGAAGGGGATTTGCTTTAGATATGAGATTATTCTATATAGAGACTTGGAAACTTTTAAGCATGATTTAAAAAAAGTTAAAATTAATTTTACAAGTTTCAGATACATTTTAATCATTATAGACACAATAATAAGTCCAAACATGCTGAAAATCTCCTCCATAATCAATTAAACCTTACTCAAAAGTTTCCAAATTCAAATTAAACATTTCCAAGACTATTGCTAATCGATTGACTCATTCATTTACTCATTCTTATCTCTCAGTAGTTTCTTCATGTTCACATGTAAATGATAATGTTAAGCTGACTAAGTTACCATTTAAGATATTTTCTAAGACATGTGTATTCTCGCCACCAGCAGAATAAACAACAACTCTTCCAGCCTTTGGATCTACAATGTGATTCTTCTTCTTTTTCTTCTCAAATTCCACAAAAATAAATCGTCCACCATGAAAGTTGCGCTTATAATTTGATAGGAAAATAACAACAGAATAATGAACATTTTTCTGAATTTCCTTATCATAATGATGACGATGCATCGATTCAGAGTACTCGGTCGTAACATTTGTAATCTTCGAGAAATAAGTTGGGCTAGTTAGGTAAAGTAAATTGTGTGATATTTCAAATCGTTGCGCAATATTCTCGATAATTTTCGGCTGAATCGACTAGAAGTAAAAAAAAATACATAAATTTTAAAATTGATAAGAACAGGCATTAACGGTGATTTATGATAAACTTACCTTGATTGTGTCGTGTATGCTTTTAGTTACATCATCTAATGCTATCGAGTTTGAGTTTATGTGATAAATTTCTGACGACTCGTCGTGATTATGGAAAATTTTCCTTGCCAACTCTTGAAGCTGCGAAATTTCATTTTCATTCATGAGATTATCGGTGACAAATCGTTTACATGCTGAAATACATTTTGGATGCTTTTCAAATTCCGCCTCTGTAAAGCTGTCTGCTGAACAAATTAGTTTATGTTCTCGAAGGGGAATGTCTTCTTTGTAGCCAGCTAATGTTGATGTCTTCTCTTTATTTGATGTAAAGTACACAAGGGCAAATACACATCCTGCCAAAATAATCCTAACAAACACTTTATGGCTTTTTAGCTGTGGTGGATGAGTCTTGAATTTCCTGAAATAATCATGAAAATTTAATTTATTTTGAAAAATAAATTTATTGAAATTTCACTTACGCTGATCTATCTTCTGGCTTATTTTCTGGTGGATCAGTAGACACTACTGCTGGACTGGCATTCTCAGTCTTCCCTGGTACTTTTCTTTGCGTTAATGTTGACATTTTTAAATAATTTTGAAATTTATTTTCAATTGAATCCTTTTGTGTGCTTCAAAAGGATATAAAAACATTTAAATGTTACAGGCGCATGTGCGGACGGTTGGATGGGAGTTGTAGAGTTATTATTTTGTTTAAGTTGCACGATTTTCACGTGCTTATCACTTTTTGTGTTGCAAATAAATCTGTTTGTATTTAATTTTTATTGATTAGAGACCCTATGAAGAAAATTACTTTATTATTAATGGAAATACCCGAAATACCAGAAAGAATTGAGCAATTAATCGATAAACAAGCAAAATGAAAACTTATTGATGATATTTGATAAGTTTTAATCAGTTTAGGTTTATGGAGAGAGTTAAAAATAGCACAAATTTTAAATTGAGCAATGTTTTTATTATAGATACACATTTTGAGAACATTTTGAAGGAAACTGATTTGAAAGTCTACGACTAAGAACGAAAACTAAAAAAATCTTATTTGTAAATCTCACAAAGTATCATTCTTAATGCAGAATTCTTCTAGGAAAGCTACAATTCAATAAATCATTGCTATCTTTATAATCAAATCATCTTTCAATGAGCAGTCAACCAAATTGTTATGGGAACAACTTTCCATGAATAGCATGTAGTTTAATAAACTTTAAAATACCAGAGAAGTTTAAATATTACATATTTGAATACGTAAGACCAACATTAGGAAATCATGTCATGACATAATCATTTATCATTTTATTAAAGTTATAAAATAAACTGATAAACATTCTATGTGAAAGCTAATAAATGAAGGCCCATTGAGAAATTAATCGTACACTTGATTATGATTTCTACGAAAAGTATTTGCGCTATTTATGATGTTAAAAATTTGTCAATTAAAAATTATATTTTATAAATGAAATAATTGGAAATAAGATTTAAAAATTCAAAGATTCGCATGGTCAAAAACTTTAAAGAATTAATTAACTTAATGAGAATTTTTTTAATCTCTTTGTTAAAACTTCCACAAAATGTGAAAAAAATATAATAAATCTAATTTCTAAAAGTATCAAAGGATTAAAGCATCAATGTTGAATTTTTATCCAAAGGTGAAATTAATGTGACGTCTGGTGCATTTTTAAGTATAAATCCTTAGTGCTAAGGTTGTTTTAAAGTTGAAATCAGCTCATACCAGCTTAATAAAAATTGATAGGAACATAAATGGATGAAGATAACAAATTGTTATTTAATATGTTACGTTTTGTTTTAAGATTTACATGACTTTGTCCTTAAATCACATTAATTAAGAAATTCAAATTAGATTGCTTATTTATGGGCTGTTCACTTATTACGTAACGCGAAAAAATGACTTCTTAGACCCCCCCCTCGTAACAAAATTTGTATGAAAAAAAAATTCCTTGTTTGAACCGAAACAAAATCTTAGACCCCCCCCCCTCCCCCTAAAAGCGTTACGTAATAAGTGAATGGCCCCTTATCTTATCTCTATCTATTCTGTTTGTTTGGCAAAACTTTGGAATAAAACCTTTTTGAAGCTGTGAAAATGACAAGGCGTGGAAACTATCCCAAATATTATATTTATCCCACATATCCCAAAAATATTCAAAAAATTCCTGAGCATGTATGTACGATAATAAAGATATCCCAACGTATCCTTAGTGTATTGGACGTGTAATTTCAGGATATGATGGGATATCTCAATTCTAATGTATACAGGCTCAGGGATTATTTTGAATATTTTTGGGATATATAGGATAAATGGGATATTTGGGATAGTTTCCACGCCTTGGAAAATGGCTATCAGCATCATGAATATTGTAAACATCTTCACACATTTTTAAGGTTTTTCTTTCTATGTCTTCTTTTCCTGTGAATGATAAGGCTCCATTTGACAGATTTTTAAAGGCACAAGCAGTATGAAATTCATATTGATTCTTTACAAAGCTCAGATTTATCAATAACTTTTCAGACAATCAAATGTTCCTCAAAACATACTAGCATCAACGCGGGCTCGACCCCAGGGAATGTCTAGTCGAATTTGGGTGCTTTTTTCGCTGTTCTAGTCATGGCAACTCGTTTTGTATGATTTGAGACGTGCAAACTGTGGCTAGGTATTTTTGCATTGATATACCCTGGGTCAATGCAATTGTGCAGAGTTGCAAATACGCAATCGTCCGTTGTGGACAAAATCTGTCTGTAAAAAGACAAAAACCAATTGTCCGTTTAGGACAAAAATAATCAAATAATTTTGGATGTCAAATTTGGATGTATCATCAAATAATTATTTCAAATCTATAATTAAGTTGTAACAGCCGCTTGCGCTAGCCCTCTTAAAATTGTAAAAAAAAATACTAGCATCAATGAGTTTAAGGATTCTTTTGATTTAAACTGCCATTTATTATTGCAAAATTCTTAAACAATTATGATAAACAAGTAAACAATTATGATAAAGACAATGAAACGAAAGTACAATTGATTAGTCATGCGAAAAATTGAATTAATTTTGGATATTTGTTTATTAAATGATATTTGAAATCCAGTCTAAAAGTTTTAAAGATAAAGTATTTTGTCGAAGGCTTATGAATGGACTTAATATCATATTGGTGCTAATATCATATTCATATTAGCGTTAAAACAGCTCCTTTAGGACACTGCACTCCATTTTGACATCAACGTGGGAACTATTCGGTATTCTAGCGAGTATATAGCCATATTTAATAAAAAAATCAGCTAATGCAAGGGTTAATGCATCAACTCTTGCAATATCTCAACCAAAATTTCTAATCATTATTCAACCTGAACAAAAAAAAAGCGCATTATGCACAATAAATAAGGGCTAATAGTTTTAATTTCTCATAGTTTTCTATTTACAATCTTTATTTGTTAAATATTATTTTCTTATTTGAATTAAATTATTTTTTATTTCAGTCACACATCACAAAGTTCAAATATATATATATATGAAGTCAATTCAATACATTTAATCCCATTTCAGTGTAAATATATAATAAAAAATTTATCACGACGCCAAAATTAAAAAAAAAGTCGAATCGATAAGACGATTGATCAGAGAGAAAAAAAAATAAATGAAATAAAAAAATTACAAATAAATAGAAAAAAAATACACCTGAAATATTGCCTCGGCAAGCATTAATAAGAAGAGTAAATTGAAGTCCCGTAAAACCTCTTATCTTATCATCAAACATAGCAGAAGTAGAATAAGAAGAAGAGGAATAGATAGCAAAAGTATTTTTTTTATTCACTCCAAATGTGATTGTGATGTATGTGGAATTAATGTAGAATAAATTTTTTCATTCGTCAGTGTAGATGGTAAGGTAAGGTTTAATTATTATCATTCGATGGGGATTTAAGTGTTGAAATTTAATTTTCCATGTGATTATAAATTGAATGTGATAACGGGATAGATTTTTTATAGAATTATGTCACTTAAAAATATAAATTATTTTCAATCTAGTTCCTTCCTCGTCTTTCTCTATTCCTTCTCACAAACATGTCAAATACACGAGAAGGAAAAATAAAATTGTATAAAAATAAGTTTTATATCTCCCTGCTCGATGTGAACTTAAATGTAGTTGACGCGCTTACAATTTAATTCTTATCTCATATTTACTTTATTGGCACAGCAATGATAAAAAAAAAACTTTGTGAGTTGAACTTCATTGGAACGTAAATATAATGGGACGGTTTATGGAAATTGTCACAATTCGTTTTGTTCCTTGGATTGTTAATGTATTTGAATAATGCATTTTCAGAGATTCATGTCTGTTGAATGTGATTTTAGAATAATATAAAATTTATTCGAATTAAGAATTTTCTTGGTTTTGAAAGGATGATTTCATTTTTTCATGCATTCATTCAATCTGAGCTTATGATCCTTAAGATAGTATCAGCAACAGACAAAATATTTGCCAGAACTTAACGATTTGACTTTTTATTAGATTCGTGTGATCTGATATACCAAGAATTAACAAACAAGGGTTAAATGACTACTCCAAGACTACTCCTTTAGCGAATTCTCTGATTTTATAGCTATCGTAAAGAATGTGATTCTACTGTAATGATGCATCTTTGAATTCTGACTTGGAAAGAAACCAAGATACAGATTTTATTATGACCAATCAAAGCTAATCTGTACATCAAGTTCAATTTGTTCGAGAAATGGTTAATGTTGAAAAAGTTCAGCGTAGGTTTGATCTTAGAATAAACTTAGTGAATTAAATCAAATTTATCAACAAATTTCCAATATGTCTCGTTTCCAAGTTTATTTTATTTCATTGAAATACTCAAAAAACTTACAAGTTAACGATGAATCCTGTTTATTAAAAATCCTTTGAATTATATATTACTTTAACTAAGCTAAGACTAGAAGTTCTGGGTTAAAATTTCAACTGATTCAAAAATTGTATTAAGAAAACAAAAGCATGCTTAACTTCAATGTATTACTTAAAATTTATACAAATTACAAGTGTTTTGATAAGCTTAATCTTAATCATTATTTTTGAAGTGCTCTTTGTGAGTAGCTATAAAGATTCTAGTTAATTATCAAATGAATAAGCAGCAACACTTCTCTGAAAAAAAAAAAATCATTCATAATTCTATTCTAAAGTAAACTATTCGTGTGACAAAACTTATCACATCCACTCGTGAAAGAACGTTCAACTAAAAAGTTTTCACTCTTTTGTTTGATTTTCGATCACATTTACAATTGTGGCAAAGCATGAATCTTTAACAGTTACAGCCGGAAAACGATTGTTGAGAGTGTTGATGAACTTTTTCCTTCATTTCTTTAGTGATGATTAAGTTTGGGTGTGAAATTAAGTTTTTTTTTGCAAAGGCACAGGTTGGAAAAATTGAAAATTACAAAATATAAATGAAAATCCCTCAAAAAAATACACTCGACGGCGTTATCATAAATGCGTGATATCATAGATCAGAGGTAAGAAATTAATCACCATCAAAACTCCTTACCATTATTATTGAACGTAGTTCTAAGTGATATTGAGGTTTTGTTTGAAAACTGATAAGTTATTTCGGTTAAAAATATTGTGCAAGTATTTGTGATATCAAGACTGATATGAAATAAATTTCATTATCAGTTAAACTTTTTCGAGGGAGCGTTACTTACAAAAAAAGACGAAGAACGTATTCTTTAAGTATAAAATCGACAGTTGAAGTTCGTTCATTGATTAATAATTGAGAAATTGTTGAAGTGGTGAGACGTATGGTGTGCAATTTTAAATAATTGATTTTGGAACAACTTGACAAGTGTGATTTTACAATTAATTGGAATGTGCCTTAAATAAATTTATTGTGTTCAGCATGTGTGCATTACATCTCGTGGATTTGCAGATAATGGTCTTGTTACGATATTTAAACTCTCTAGAATAGAACTTGTGATTGATATTCGATCAGATCTGTCCAAATCTACAGGAAATGTGATTGCGCATTGATCAACGACATCGCAGTCTATTGCTGAAAAGTGAAATTAATTTGAAGGAATTTTGAAACAATTTTGAATTAGAATTTGGAAGATTTAATTTGAAAAGAATTTTAAGAAGTTTTTCAACATTGAAAAAATTCTAAATTTACTTTTTTCCATTTTTCAACAAATTTCAATTTTCAAACTTTAACTTAGAATAAAAATTTCAAAAATCACAATTCAAATAAAACCAAAGTTCCTTCAAAATCAACGAATCTATTTGTCCAAGTGAACACGTGAAATCCTTCAATATGGAACGTTTTCCATCTTATGTAAACATCATGAGCAAACTTAATAAAATCAACTCGTCTATATCAGAAATATCAAAAGTCAACAACTTCAAATTAACAAAATATATAAAAATTGGAAGAGCTCTAAGTGGAGAAGTAGTTCTCATCGCTTAGTTTAGAAAGTGAGATTCAACTTCTCCGACTTACTGCATGCCAATTAATTCATCAGTTTGTTTTGTTAAGGATCTACGAGTGTAAATTGTGAAAAGTTTAAAACTTTGTTGAAAATGCTACTAGAAATCGAAAGTTTTGCAAAGTATTGAAGCTTTGTTCTTTGATTCTTAAGTTTTGGTAAGGAATTCGCACATGTCTTTCAAATACTAGAGTATTAGGTGTGTCATCATGAACTATCTATTTTTTAAATCCTATAAAAAGGTGACAAATCATATTTTTTAAATAACGGTTTAAAATTCAATTGTTTAGCATTCATTCATGATTTTAGGGAGGGATGTGTGGTGTAAATCGAAATTGGGGTATTATATAACGTCATAGTTGACATTCTCAGAATATTAAATGTTTGAACATTTAGTTGAATAGGAGGTTTAACTTTAAAATTCATTGAATGTGCTTCTGAAATGAAAATAAAGTTTTTACTTTAATATTTTCATGTTTACTTACGATAAATCTCAGATTGAAGCACAAACAGACAAAAAAGTATGCTTATGAGTATCAATATATACTCAATGAGTGCAATACTCCTGTACATTTGTTAGACTTGCTAGAAATCACAATCATAATTGATAAAAGAAAGCTATCATCCAAAAGTGTCATAAAGTATTCATATTCCGTTCAGAATTCGTGAATTTTTTTGTCTAAGGACGAAGCTTAATTTCTTCAAAAAATCAAAAAAAAAAAATTTTAAAATTGCAAAATAAAACACATACAGCTTAAAATTCAATTAGTAATTTGCAGTAATTTAATAGATTTTTTTTCATTTTTATAATACACAAAAAATTACAGTACGATAGATAGAGAGATGTAAAAGTTTAAGAATTATTTTAATGAGCACCATTAAGAATGAGATTGAACTTTATCAGCACCAATTCATTGGCAATTGTTTAAAAACTAATGTTTCAACATTTGAAGACATTAGAGTACTTGATGTAATTGCTGAGTATAAGTATGAAAACTTGAAAAGTCAAGCAGTTGATTAGATAGCCAAAAACTTGGTAAGTAAGTAAGAATGATTTAACGATTTTTCATGTTAACAGATAAAATCACATGTTTAATTTGGATCAAATCAAAGAGTTGTATCGTTGACTTCGAATTCTATGTGTCTGCATTAGCAAGAGATCCAATTATGGTCTTCAAATGAAAAAATAACTTTATATGACTTAGTCAACATGTTTCAATGTCCATTGTACTGCAAAGTACATCAAACTTGAAACAATATCGATGACGTCTGAATTTCACAACATTTTCTTGATTTAAAAACCAATTTCAAACTAAGACTTGACTCATTAATTTACAAAGTACTCTAATCCCTCACCAGTAAGAGGTTGCGCATTTCTTCACGTTATTTTCTTGATTATAAATCGATTTTTAAGTACCTCGAGATAAAGTTACAATTAATTAATATCATTATGTAGAGATGAACAGTAGGTAGGAATGATTTTGTAAGCTTAATTAATGTAAGTAAAATTAATTTTCATTCAATCTCGATTTCTCGAAAAAATAAAATAAATGGGAAATGAGATGAATGGAGGTGTAAAGATGAGAAGTTGCATAATCTAGTTCTCATAATCATGATTTGTTAACTACTTCGTGTTTCCATCAATTAAAAAAAAATTACATATGAACATAATAAGGCACATTGGAAAAAAAATATATAAAGTTTCATGGCATCCTATCAGTTGATTTCATTCATGTCGATGGACGAAAAACAGGCAATGAGCTTGGATAGTGTGTGTCTGGACGTAGAACGGAATCGGGCCAATTTGTCATGACATCATTAGTTGATCGAAATGGGTATGTTGCCAACACAATTGGTAATTGAAGTTTTATCGCCTTCTCCATCGATTTTGGCTCAATTATAAGCTGCAAAAAAATATATAAAAATGAAATTGAAATTGATAATGAGGATTTATTGAGTTGTTTTGTAACTACAAGTGCAAAATGGAATCGAAAATTTTATCGATAGAAAAAATTAATTTTTATGAGTGACGTCTTATGTAGACAAGTCCCGCCCTCTGCTGTTTCGAAACATACACATTAAAAATATCATAAATATCTTATCAGTCCTCATTTCATAAAAAAAATTCTTTATATATACTTTTTTTTCGTGCCTTTTGATAAGCAAAAGCCTTTAACGAGAATGTGAAAAGGCAGCAAAAATAACTGAATTTTATTTCGAATGAACGCACACCTATATATTCATCATGTATTTTCATTTCTATTCAATGACATAATTTTAAAGACATAAATGTTGAAATATTTTCTTTCAGCCGAATGGAAATAAAGAATGGTTGTGAAATTTCTGTTGTGAATTGTAAGAACAAAGCGTTTTTTTTTTAGGGGAGGAGGGTAGACATTAGGGATTTATGAGGGTAATTTTTCAGAGTTTTTGTCATGAATATACTTTCAAAAATATTTTCAGAGATCTACTATATTTCCAATCATTGAAATTTGGTAGTTAAAACAGTCTAGGTGCTTATTAAAGGTTGCATCTAGTGGAATTACTTCAGCTCATCTTGATTATCTATCTTAATCTTAAACTAGCTTCTAAAATTCAAAATCAGTATATTATCAATGAATATGCAATTATGGCCTGTGGTGTGAGTTGATCACCTATTTCTCCAGCCCTGCATCAATCCTAGGATATACCTATTAAGATTCGAGTGCTTTTACACTGTTGTAGCCATTAAACTCAGTTTGGATGCACTTTTTCCAACTTAATACATGTATAATTGTCTCGACATGGCATTTGATACTGTTCACTTGGCTTCCTGTACATTAGATTTTAAATTGTACCTGTCGGGTAGGCACATTGCATAAAGAATATCCATTTCCTTTTTCTATAGCTTATCAGGGATACATTTGAACATAAGATCTATGCACTTCACTCCACTATATAAATAACATTTGACTATACCTATGGAACTACGAAGCTCTTGAAACTGACTGTTCCTTATACACTCGTCATAGTGTCTTTAATTTATGTAAGAATCAAAGTACTTTAATGCTTTGTTGAATGAATATAATGCAACAAAATTCAAGCATTGTGAAGAGAGCCTTGGTTCATACAGAATCAAAGATTGATAACATATCTAATAGACAAAGTGTACCACAACATCCATCCATTAATAACAAAGCAAATTGCATGCTAAAAATAATTCAACAATAAAATAAAACTCACATAGACATCATAATTTAATTGAATCAAATTTGAATTGCGTATATTTGTGGGTGGTAAAGGTGGAATGTAAAGCTTTTTGTTCACAAATTCATCACGACTATTGGGACGTATTTTGGGTCCTTTGATTGATGCAATTTCACGTTTTTCAACTTGAACAGCTTTTCCACGTGACAGATAATTGATTGTTTCGAGTAGAATTATTTTCGTATGACGTATTGTAACTTTACTGAAATTCCTAACATATCCGTTGATGTGAATCGTTTCTCCTGACACGTAACCTGCGCATTAGTCCCAAATAAAAAATGAGAATAAAAAATGAAATTAAAATCAAATTCAATCGACAATCAGAATAAAAGAATTTAATTTTACCTCCCCGATCCAATTCGATTTTACATTTTACAGTTCCAGATCCAATACATGCTAAACCACCCAACGTCGGTTCAATTTCACATCTAAATGGCTCTGCTAATGCTGGTTCCTCGATGTTTAAATCAATCGGATTCATGATGATGAAAATTTGATGATTTTTGTGAATTAAACCTGCTCACAGAAGAGTATGAAAAAAAAATTGGATATTAAGGGAATGGTGTGAGTACCTCACAGCCTTCAAATATTTCTTTTTCTTATTGATTGCTTGCAAATTTCCGCTCAATTAAACTCAAGATAGGAATGGAATGGAAAAAAAAGCAAAATTTAAATTCACCTGATGGCTCACGTAATGCGCATTTACAATAATACTGAATCCATCCGTGCTTCCCGAGAAAAGTCGATGGGAGACCCAAGGGGAGACCGAGTTTAAATGGAAATGAGTGTATGCCGGGTGATAATATTGTCGGTCCTGAATCATTGTCACCCAATAATCTCATTCGAAAATCAATGTAATTTTCTTTATCGTATGTGCGCTCTTGACGAGCTGTTCTAGCAGTCACGACACCTTCACCGACCACATGAAAGTGCAATCCTATACAGAAAGAATTTGAATAATTTAAAAAAAAAAATTGAATAGAATCTTTTTGTTATTTTGTATGTGAAGCAGTTCCATACAGCTGCTGTTTTGTTCTTGCCGTCTACCCACTACAAACACCGTTATGCCAAATTTAGACAAATGAATGAATTATAATTGTTTTTTTTTTTGTATTACAAGCTACTCACATTTGTGAATAGAATTAAAGGGAAGCGAATTGTTTTATAGCAGAAAATGAGAAGCATGAAGGTAAGACTTTCGATTTCAAAAAGATTCAATAAAATCAATAATAATTGTATACACATCTCTTCATCTACAAACGAACATGTTATATCCAACCATAATAACTAAATTGCATCTCATTTTAACTTCTTTTATGTACGAGATCTCACTTCTGTGTTAATACTCATTGATTATGTCATTTACGCGTATTGAGTGCTGCCTTTTAAATTGGATTTGATACAGTTTGAATGAGTTGTGTCTGACTGACTTGTTGAGAATGTCTTGAGTCCATCGAACAATTGATGGGAACTTTTTTCTCTGTCAAATTAAATGAGCGGATGTTAAATTCTGCTGACAGCCTACATCATCAAAACTGTACAGATAATTTTCTATGAGAAATTTTGGTATTGATGGTCTATAAAATAGAACAGCACACCATTGGCACTAAATTTGCTTAACAGCTTAAAAAAATTCTCTAATCATCTCAATTATAATTTTTGCGGACTTAAGTTGGTTTCATCCACGGGGTGTAATTATGGAGAAATTTATGTTAAGGAGTTCCTACTTGTTCTACTTAAGACACCTTTTGAACTGGAAAATTATTTTTTTCAGGGTTGGTGATTTGGATTTTGAATTGGAAATTTTCTTGACCGGTACACATTCAAAATGTTGCTCAGAGTTTGGAACTGATCGAAATATGATTGATCGGTAGCTTAAAAAACTCCTAGGCGTATAAGACTCTTTTATGAACCAATTTAGAAGCCGCATGCAATTCTGTATGAATTCTTTACTTTATGCAGCTCATTTATGACACTTTAATGCATCTTCCTTGCATCCTTTTAGTTGCACGACTACTTAATGTCAATTATTGTTCATACTTGGTTAATAAACTTGCCTAATTGTGTAAATGATTCTAGATTTGCTAGATTTTATAGCTAAAAATGTATCACACTCGAATAATTCAATTCAAAATAACTCAAGCATGACCCTACAAACCAAATTCCACCACTGATCATTTAATTAAATGCGCTATTCCCATCTTCACATGGGCGTATCAACCTCTCAACTTAATCATTGTATGTTTGTATGTTTTTTTGTTGTTTAGGTCTTATATGGACATCAATAACTTGAGATTTTCTTATTTTTTTTTCACTTCTATTATCGCAATTTTTTTTTAATGCAATTTCAATGAACAGAAGAAGAAACAAATGTTGAAACTTTTTTTTTGATGAAATATTGGCAATTGGAATGTAATACAATGGCTTTTTTATTCAGGCTGAATAGTATTGTGCAAATTGATTTATGGGTATTGAGAGATTAAGCTGCTATGAAACATTCTTAAAGTTTTGTCGATGACGTCAGTTTTGATATTTTTATTCACACAGACATGAATTTTTGCATAAAATGCAGCTATAAAGTTTTTTTTTACCTAAAGCTGGTGTATCTTCTTGCAATTCTAACAGAACTCGTCCACTTAAGAATTGTCCAGGAAAGTACAAGAGATTCGTATTGTCAAATAGAATCAAAAATTTCATCAATTTTCGAGGCATGATTGCAATTTTCAGGCTTTAAAATTCAATTTTATTTTGATTATTTTTTATTCTTAATTTTTCTCTCGATCTCCCTTCATAAAAATATCATTTTTTTATTCATCCACCTGTTGAATATTTGATAAATTTCTGCACTTTACACTTGTGCTAATCACTTGATCATAGATTACAATATCACTATAACACATTTCTTATCATATCGACACAAAATTGATAAATTTAATTTGTTAAAATTTCGATAAAGAAAGTAAAAAATGTTTTTTAATACTTGCGATGTGAACGAGAAGTATTAAAGGTATGTGTGACTTGCGATCGAGATAAAATAACATTAACAGTGTGAGTCTTAAGAAGCTAATGTTGAACCTCTATAATCCGACTTGATCGGGGTTTTGTTGCTAATACAGGTAAAAGATGTGCTTGACAACTTTGTTTTGGATCTAAATTCAATGAGCGGAAACTTAAAATTAACTTAAATTGGCCTTCACATTTCTTCATTCCAATTTACATAACGTGACATTGCGTGGGTTGGATCTGTTTTCGGGCATCGATATCTACTGAATTAAAAACAACGTCATTATTTTGGAAATTAATAGAGTCAGTCAAACATTGTAAATAAATTTTATTGCAATTCTTTTCATATTATTTTATCCTAGCTAAACTTAAAAAAATTCTTTTGCATTTCATTTTAATATCTTAGCACCACGTTCGTTCCAATTACGTAAATTGTCCTCATTAATGTATCCCCATTTCCATTTCTGTTTGATTTCATTACTATCACATGGTTTTATAAGAATTTTTTGCGACGTCGGATCTGCTTCCAAGCATTTCTTCTCACTTGGCTGACTATACATTTGCTGTGTATCGAGATCATAGCGGAAATATTGACCGCCTTGTTTATGATGGCATGCACCAAGTCGCACACTTGAGCCATAAGAATCTATGCAGTATGCAGCATCGGAATAAAATTCAATGTCACGATGATGTCCCAAGAAGTAATGTTGATGACCTGATGGACGTTGTTTATTATGTGAACATCTGTAAAGTCCTAATTCTTTATAAAAGTGACCCATTGAATCTATACAATAATCCTTTAAAGCTATGCTTTCAATCTAGAAATAAGAATGTGGGATTTCAGCATCAAATCTCAAAGTTAATCAAAATTGTGAAAAACTTACAGCTCCCTTGGCAAATTCAATCTGTGATGGTGGATATTTCTCTAGCATGTCAGGTGCTACAACCTCAAGGAAATACTTAAATGGCTTACATTTATTCTTTTCTTTAATTGCTAATTGCTTCGAAATATCTCCGGTATCAACACGAGCAAATCTATCCGGTTTCCGTTCGTAGATGTATTCTTTGTACTCGTCCATCCAAACCTGTGGAAATAGAAATGTGAGAGAAATTACTTTAATTTTCATAAATATTTAATCATTATTGTTGTTTGCTAGAAATGAAGTACTGTAATTTTAAGGTATAGCTTAACAAATTGAGTAAGAGCATAGTCATTAAATGTTTTTCAACTTCCTGTTGACTGTGTTAAATGGAAACTGGGACAATTGTCATGAACTGTGTAGATGTGTAAAGGGATAGACATGAATTTGTTTTTATCTTTAATAAACTGTTTACTAATGATACCTGGTACCCGTGCATGCAGGGTAGAGAGCATACCCATATTAATTAACAACAAGGATAGCCATAGATAAGTCAGATTGAGAATCAATAATTAAGCATAGCAGCAGACAATCTTAAAGATTAAGTCTTAATACTCCAATATAGTCAGTAATGCAGTTCTTACCTCAGCAACTCTCTTGAAATTCTTTGAAACGTAGTCATATCCTCTTGGATCTGGGAATGGATTGCTTTTGTAAATGTGTCCGATTCTACTGCATGGGGAGTCAACCATCTCACCACCGCAAAGCCAAATTTTAAAGCTCAACTCGTACTGTTCACCTCCCCAAATGTCGAGACCTAAAATGTGAATTTTGATGCTGCTTAAACATTTGGACTGACTAAATCTTTATCATATGGATAATATAAAACTCAATTTATAATTCAAGGACTGCTCACAAATGACGTCAAATGGAATATAAGGGTTTGGGACCTCACTATAGAACATCAAATGACATAGACTGAATAGGGACCCCAAAACTCCTTGTTCCCAAAAGACATCATTAGCAAACGACACCTATGTGATAACTTACCTGGATCATATCCACCAACTTCCCAGAAGAATTTAGCTGATATTGCAAAAAGACCTCCAGCCATGACAGGTGATGGGAAATTATCAGCTGGTGTCTCTTGATCACCTGGACGGATATCAATTCTTTTATACAAGAAATTCCATTCAAATGCACCTCGATTTCCCTCATCTTGAGCTCTATACTCATAGTCTTGTGCATCAATTACGTCAATGAATGGACACACACATGTTCGATAGTCAGATGCAATTGGATCTACAAAAAAAAATCAAATTCATGTTGTCAGTTGATTTATGTTTAATGCCATAGTAAAATTTTCATGTCAAACCTAATAAAGGCGGCAGCCAATTAGTATTTGCTTCTGTATGAGAGTCTAAAAATATAAGTACATCTCCTTTTGCTGCTCTTGCACCAGCCAAACGTGCAGTAATCTAAATATAAAAAAAAAACACATAAGTCTCATTAATTGAATTAAAAAAAAATCATATCCAACTCACAAGCCCAGATCTTGCTGGCAAATCAATCACATGTGCCTTTCCCTCAAAATTATTTGCTAGGTACGCTTTAAGTTCATCATATAATTCAGTTTTTGTGGAATGATCATTGACTAAAATAACTTCCTTAAGTAAATGTGCCGGTGCACGATTTATACAGCTATGAACAGTTCGCATAAGAACGCTAAGGTGATCATTGAAAAATGGAATGATTACTGATGCCGTTGGCAGTTCCAAAAGATACTTTTTCTTTTGGCATCTACGAATATGAAAAGAATCAAAATGAGTCAATTAAGTTTAATTTAAATCAATTAAGTATGTACATACAGTGGGTGCCGAATATCGGCAACAGATCGATTAACTGAAATGATATCGGATGCTCGAGCATAATATCCATTGACTTTTAGAAGTTGTGTATTGATTTCTATATCATGTGGATCTGTTAACTTGAAGGCTTTGCCTTGCTCACCAGGTCCCTTTTTAGCTTTCTCTTGCTGAATATGTTCAAAGTCATGCCAGTCTTTTCTCTTAAGTAAAACATTGTGTTTTTGCTTGAAGAATGAATCATATGGCTCAACGTAATTGAATTCATCTTCTGATATTAACGGTAATACAATCGGCCGCTTTTCTGTGCTTGCTTTTGCTTTTCTCTGCACTAATTGATTGGCAATTGGGTGATCTTCTTCATGTTTTACATCTTCTTTCTCGCTTTCATCACTATTATTTGATGACTTGTATATTTGCGATATTAAGAACAGAAGAACTAATGCGATGATTGTAAAGTTTAGTACAAGTTTGATAAGAGAACTTCTGCCTTTACACTGAAATTTAAAGAAAAAATAAACAATATGAAATGAAAATTAACTAGTTCAGTTTTTTGGGAACAGATGAGATATACAGCAATGAAAATAAAATCAGACTGACACGCATGAAATACATTCTTTACATTCTATTTCATTGTTGACAATGTGGCGATATTTTCTTCTTTTTTTGACTTGTTTGAATTTTTCATATTCTACATGAACTGATTGTGCAGGTGGAAATTTTGTTTTCTTGTCAGTTTGTCTGTTGTGGAGATGATTAAGAGTTTGGAATTTTTTAAACCATAAGCTTTACTTTTAGTGACTAAGGTAGAGTATCTGGAATAGCCATTGAAAGCAGGCATATAAGCTAGTTTTGACAAATTAAGACTAGAAACTAGTTTTTGCAAGGATAAGATAACTCAGATTCAATTCTACATGTTCCAGGCTTGGTATTTTCTCTATCTACCATTTAGGTAAGATTGAGCAATTTAGGTTCGACACAATAACAAGGCAAGCCTTAGCCTACAGAACCTTAGATTGCAAACATTTAAATTTATTAATTGCACCAAATTTGATTCATGAAATAAGCTTCAATTCCTCGCTATCATGTCTTATCACATTTCGTCACTTAACTTGCTAATTCCGATTATGTCATTTTTGAAATAATCAAGCAAATTAAAAATTATTAAGGAAATAAATGTGATAAGAGATTAATTATTCCAGGAATATTTATAAACATACTTAAGGCTGTCAAATGTCTAATTTGGATCACTTGAATTTTTTTATGCACTGACAAACAACGACTGACATTATGTATTAATTTTTTAATCTCGGAATTTATCAATTTCTACAATTTAATTCATCATTTAGAAAATACATTAAAGTATTCTACATGATGACGTACTTTCTAATGTTCATGATCATGTGAACTATAAAACACATTTCAGAAAATATGTAAACTGAAACCCAACAACCTTGAAATCATTTCCAATGTTCAATAAACTATTTCGAATTTTTTTGAGAAACACGTTTATGAAAATTACAAAAAAATCTTCCAAGTTGGCATAAATCAACTGTTCAACTGGTTTATTGACGTCATGCTATCAAATTTGTATCCAGTTTTTTTGTCTAACTTAATAAACTGCTGCTCAAAAGTGAATAAAGTTCAATAAGTCATGACTTTATAATTCACTTGCCAACAAATCCAATAGAAATGCGCTTAGATCATGAAAAAAACCGGCGACTCTCGTTCCTATTATATTTTTTTGTTTACGTCGCGAGTACGGAAACTCACATGTGAGTAAGTTCTAGGAATTCCGTCACTCTCTCAAAAAATAAAAATCTCAAAGACTCTCCACTATCACGGCAAGTTTTACACGCACATTAATGCATGCGATGCGATTACATGTGTATTAATAAAATAACAACACAAAAAATATGAGAGAATAAAAAAAAATAAAGGTAAAAAGAAAGAGATATGAAGACGTGTAGCTAGTCCAACAACCTTTAATTTTTTTTTTCATATTTTTTTCGGAAACCCGTTTTTGGGTCAATTTTTACAATGTTTTGAATCAAATTATTGCATTGCTATGCTTACAGTGCGTCAAATCATTATCAACAAGTTGTTATGCTCGAATGATAAAAAATTTACAATTTATCAGCACTTTCACAATAATTTTTTTTTGTCCCCGTCCATATCAAGTCTTGTCGGCACCAACAACGCAATATTTTGTGTGTAAAAAAAGTATAAGCTTGATAATAGTTGACTTACGTGTCGCAAAATCAAT